GCGCTTACAGTGTGGCACTGAGATAATTGTTAATACGTCACAAGATGCTTTTTTACGGAAATTTCTGTCGATTTTACTTTTTATTGTATTATTTCTCAGGCTATTTGTACGTATTTTTACTCATCATTTCTCAGGCTATTTGTACGTATTTTACTCATCATTTCTCAGGCTATTTGTACGTATTTTACTCATCATTTCCTCATGCTATTTGTACGTATTTTTACTCATCATTTCTCAGGCTATTTGTACGTATTTTTACTCATTATTCCTCTTGCTATTTGTACGTATTTTTGCTCATCATTTCTCATGCTATTTGTACGTATTTTACTCATCATTTCTCAGGCTATTTGTACGTATTTTTACTCATCATTTCTCAGGCTATTTGTACGTATTTTTACTCACCATTCCTCAGGCTACTTGTACGTATTTTTACTCATCATTTATCAGGCTACTTGTATGTATTTTTACTATTGTTTGTTTCTATTCCGTTAATCATTTCTCACAGTAAATGCTTTTTAATTCTTCAAACTTCATCTTCTTCCTCTTAATCCTATTTCAACGTAAATACTTATTGAACGTATGGGCCAGGCGTGGCCTAAGGGGCTAGGCTGCCCCGGACTATGAATCCGAGAATTCATGGTTCGTGACCCGTTGCCGCAAAAACTCACTCCGCACTTTGGGTCGTGTTTGCGCTATACAAACGAAAACGAAAACCAAGTACTGCATCATAAAAGAGTAGCCCAAGAGGTGGCGGTGAGTCCTATTGACTATGAGCCTTGCATGGTCAGGTGTTTATGGCGCTCGACTCGCAATCTGTGGGTCGCAATTTCGAATCCAGTCACCAAACATGCTCGCCCTTTCAGCCGTGGGGGCGTTATTATGGACGGCCAATCCCACTATTCGTTAGTGAAATAGTAGCCAAAGAGTTGGCGGTGAGTGGTGAGGACTAGCTGCCTTTCATCTAGTCTTACACTGCTAAATTAGGGACGGCTAGCGCAGATAGCCCTCGTGTAGCTTTGCGCGAAATTCGAAACCATACTGTTGACTAACTGTCTTCACTAGTCTATCAGTTCTAAATTAGGACCAGCTAGTGCAGACAGCCTTCAAGTAATTTTGTGCGAAGTTCAAGAAACAACAACCTTGAAATTCCGTAAAGTGAACTTCGCCGTTTCGATACCTGTGGTGGGCAAAGCACAGATTGTGCTTTGCGATTAACAACAAACCAACAATCTTAAGCGTTGTTCACTCGACAGCGAACTTAGATGGTAGTTGCTATAATTTATCTTTAGGTGGACCTGAACAAACATTTTGAAATATGAAAATAGAAAATTTATAATCATATCTTTGTTTGCGGTCATTTTCGGCACAAACAATCTTCTAATGTATCCTTTTACTCACCAAACCAGTTCGTGATGTTAATCCCCTAGCTAAGTGGCAGAACCTTGGACACAATATTGGTTCTCGTCAATCAATCAGTATCACTTCACCGGAGCTAAAGTTAGTCATTGAACTCGACATAGGAAAGAGGCTTAACTCTCTGTAGAAATGATGGATTCGTGACCTAGAGGGGTGAACTCTTCACTCCATCACGCTCGTGATTCACAACCTAAGAGCTTCCTATGACATCCAATATTGCATTTTAGAGATGAAAGTCATTTATCTTGGTCTTCTTAAGTGGTCTTTCTTCTCCTACGTTAAACAGACATGAACGTGGTATCTTTCTATCATTACACCGAATTAGGTTTATTTTCTGGACAGAAACGACTTACTTCATTGTCTTCCAACATTACACATCAGCTATAATTGATTTCCTGGAAACGAGGCACTTTTTTTAATTATCATTTTCTCCAAACTACACTACTTATTTCCAGTTCTGGAAACGTTACACAATGTAGCCATGAATGAATACTATTTCTGGAATATTCCACCATTTTTTCCAAAGCCACAAAAAAAATACACATTTAAATACACGTGTATAGTTTCTGATTCGGAAAGCCTATTCTTTGCTCGTGTTGTTATTCTACAAACACGATTCATATACAAGTAGAGACTCTTTATTTTCAAAGATTGGTCGTCGTTTTGAGGTGAATTCCGATCTTTATAAGTATGTAAACAAATAAACACTTTTGGTCCAAAGTTAAAACTATTCAACTTTCACTTCCTCAGCTTCAAAACGTGGTATAGCTTTGAATATTTCAAACGATAAAGTACAACAAAAAACGTCACGTAATTTTTAAATGTTTGTTTTTGAATGCCGCTGCTGTGTACTTGTTTGTTTGTAGTTAAGCACAAAGCTACACAAAGGGCTGTCTGTGCTCTGAGTACCACGGGTATCGAAACCCGGTTTCTAGCAGTATAAGTCAGCAGACTGTGCCACTAGGGGTTGTTGTTATTTGTATTTTGTATTTACGGAAAAGCAAATAAAGCTAATTTCGAACTACTAACTAGATCCAGTCACTAGGACCCTACCGTCAATCATACACGCTAAGGAATTAACTGTCACTCTTGGAACGCACCCACAGCTTAAAGTGCAGGAAATATTTAAAAGTGTTTCGATTGTGAACCACGTGTTGTGTTTAAAGGTATATCACATTTCAGAAGTGTTATGTAATTTTGACTGCGGTTAACGATATTTCTATTCTTAATTTCAGTCCACTATTTGTTATATAAAGTCAACTACAATAAATCATATTTTATCAAAACAAACATTTTGAGGGTCAAAAGTAAAACAAAATGTTTTAAAAACTCTTGATAATACTTTATAGAATTGGAAGTATTTCGGAGAATTGTAGTGTTGAAAAACACAGTTATGTTTCTTTGGCGCCTGGTTTGAGTCAAACTTTTATTGAAACTGAACTTCTAATTTCTTCTTCTAGCCCCGGCAACAGAGAGAAAGTCGAAGAAAAAGAGTTCAAGTCGAAGTTCCATAGCAATGAGTACAATCATCGACACCCAAGAGAGGACCAAACAGAGTGCGAATTGGGTGTGAACTTGGCTAGGAGTCCAGTGGAACATGGATTCAGAAACTCATCTTCAGGTTATGATCTTATGTTTCATGAGACCTTTGCAGTCCAGATAAAGATTCAAGATGGACACAGGCTATGTGTTCGTATGTGGAGCCATGAGATGAAAGAATGGTCAGAGATTAGAAAAGGAAGGCGGCCATGTTGTAAGGTCAACAGTTATAGGGACTTTGCTAGTGATGAAAAGAGCTCCTGTAGACCAGGTGTGACCGAAACATCAAGTTATTAACTTCTCCTGTTTTGTTCCCTCTCTGAACTCGCCTGTCTCAGGGACTTTATTAGTAGTCATTCATCAGGAGTACACTATACAAGATACTCAGTTATTTGTCACGATAAAATAATTCAGATTGTACTTTAATTGTCCATTCCCTTTTCTCAATGGGTTCAGCTAGTCAGACGTAATCAGAACCTGCCAGTTGTATGACTTCACCTCTAAATCAGAATCTTCCCAGTTGGCGCTCCATTAAATCGCAACTACTGTTCAACTCATAACAGTCTAACGTTTTAGTTCCTCATCATAAATTGGAATAAGCATGTACCAATATGGAGTTAATTCTTATCATTCACATTCTACAAATTCAGATACCTGAATCATTCACCACCACCACAACCTGAAACTTAAGTGACTCACCAATAGTTAAAATGGACCAATCTTGTCTTTACAGAACCCAACATGCTAAGTACCTGAACCATTCACCACCACTCAGGTCCTCACAGTCTGAAGCGTAACTTGCCAACCTTCATTTGTCCTTAATATAGAATCTACCAGTCTATGTATGTTAACTATTCATCACCATCCACCAACTTCTTTTCAATCTTAGCATATAATTTACATCCAACAGATTTCGGTTCACTATCCAGTTTCAACCCTTCTTCCACTGAAATGTTCTCCAACTGACTACAATAAGGATGCTGTAACTGTTTTTTAGATAGACTAAATCAATCTTAGCACTTTGTCCATTGAAATTTTATCCAACTGACCACAATATGGATGCTGTAACTGTCTTTTAGATAGACTAAATCAATCTTAGCACCTCGTCCATTGAAATATTATTCAACTGACCACAATATGGATGCTATAACTGTTTTTTAGATAGACTTACTCAATCTCAGCACTTTGTCCATTGAAATTTTATCCAAATGACCACAATATGGATGCTGTAACTATCTTTTAGATAGACTTACTCAATCTCAGCACTTTGTCCATTAAAATATTATTCAACTGACCACAATATGGATGCTGTAACTGTTTTTTAGATAGACTAAATCAATCTTAGCACCTCGTCCATTGAAATTTTATCAAAATGACTACAATATGGATGCTGTAACTGTCTTTTAGATAGACTTACTCAATCTCAGCTCTTCGTCCAATAAAATATTATCCAACTGACCACAATCAGGATATTGTAATTGTCATTCATATAAACTTAATCAAATCCTCCTTTTGAGGGTTTCAAACATTAACCATCAGTTGGAATATTCTAGTAACTAACATTCTACTTTACAATTGAAAGGTCATTGTTACCAATGTGTCATCTACTCATAATTTCCCTAACAGGAACGTGCTTTCTCTTCTGCTTATAGGGGGCTTTATTTCTTTGAAACATTTAGCGAAACCCAGCCTTTCGTATGATTTGTTTATTTCCAACTTAAACGTTTAACGGACACTTAGTTCTTGTGACCTTCAACTGTCCGTTACTTATATATCATTCTCCATAAGAAGGGTTTTGATAAACAATAAGTGAGAACGTGTTTGGATATATCCAATTAATCATCTTCTGGTACACGCTCAATATTCCAAACTGTCAACCCATGAAGACTATCAAACGTAGAAAAGCTAAAGTATCAGTAACAGGTTGAACAGGCTTTTTCTGCCTTAATTATTATCCAAAAGTTTGTCGACCCAGATAAATCAAAGGGGTCCTTTTGGCAGGGAATGGAAGTCCTCCTGATGATGACGTCACTCAATTATCCTAATCTCTCAAAGTTCGTTATCAGTCTTATTTCATTGCGAAGTGCTTTTGTAATACATGTCTCACTGTCTCATTGTGCAGCAATGAATAAGTGTTATTATTGTAGAAAAGTTTGTATTGTGAGGTGTGAAAAATAAAAATATTCAATATGATTTCAATTGACTTTCTGTACACTTGCACCTTATGCTATTCACACTGATTGACTTAACATCTTCAATGCTATCACAAGAATAAAAGTAACATTTATATCCTAGTTACCCCGCTAGGGGGGTATTGTTTTAATTCCTGCTGTGTCTCTCTGTGAGTGAACAGGATAACTTCAGTTATCCCCTGCCCAGGTTTATTGTTTTATCTCCTGTTAGGTCTATCTATGTGTGAAAAGGATACACTTAGTTACCCACCCTCGGGGATATATTTTCACTCTAATTGTGTTATTGTGTGAAGTACAACTCGAAACGTCTTCATATAATTTTTATACAAAGGTTGAGCTCTAAGGTCAAGGTCACACTGATGATTATTCATTGGTAGAAAATTGGAATTTTCAAAACGGTTAAAACTCAAGAACATATTAAGATGGAAGGAGAATACTGGCGCCCAGACCTACATTTTAAAGGGTGGGGATTTGCTTGGTGGATATTTTAGGCTTGTTGTTGAAAAAGTCAAAAACATTGCAGAGGGACGGTTGTAGTCTCTCAGTGCCTTTGTAGTATTAAAAATATTTCTATTTTAAGCCATATTATTAAGTGTGATATTTTATGAAAAGCCCCCAGTGGCACAACGGTATGTCTGCGGTTAAACAACGCTAGAAACCGGGTTTCAATACCCGTGGTGAGCAGAGCACAGATAGCCCTTTGTGTTTAACAACAACAATTTTATGAAAATATAGCGCCATCTGGAGGAAGGAATTACCTGCTAAAGAAGACAAGTATAGAAAATGTAACTTACATTTCAAACTTGGTAGCTAATACTTGATTTCTTATAAAAATATTTTTATTTCTAAATCATATCATTAATTATGATATTTTTATGAAAACATAGCGCCATCTGGAGGAAGGAATTACCTGCTAAAGAAGACAATTATAGAAAATGTAACTTACATTTCAAACTTGGTAGCTAATATTTGATTTCTTATAAAAATATTTTTATTTCTAAATCATATCATTAATTATGATATTTTTATGAAAATATAGCGCCATCTGGAGAAACAAAGTATTCTCTGTGTGGTCGAGTAGCTTTTATCGTTGGATTATCATATATAATCAAAATAATCCCAAGCCACTCTTTTCTCATCCTTTTAACCATACGTTCACACTCTACCCTTTTGGACTTGTTTGTTTTAGCCCAGGAATTCACATTGGATTAACTGCACTTTATGTCCGCTGCAGAGAACGAAACCCAAAATTATA